CAGCAGATTGAGAGGAGGCTAATGTTTATAAGAACACAGAAAAATGTTATGGATTAATGTCAAGTTATCTACTGTTAAGACTAATTGATTCTTTGATCAAAGCAATTTGTCCTGCTGTGAATGAAATCATTAATAATGAGGAGTATTTGAAAGTATGCTTGAATTTTTTACTAGAGTTTTTGAATTTTACTGGCCAGTTTTTATAGCCAATACTTTGAGTTGACATAGAGGTTTAAACTAACAAATGCTTGTTTTCAAAGTGAAGTTCTAGATGGAATCCTGATTCATAAATTCATAATTGTTCTTCTATTAAGTTTGATTGCTCCATGAATCTTTGGCACTTATCACAGTCCCTGGTGTATATTACAGTCTAATAAATGCTCCTGGTTTTATAATAATAAAAATTTCAGTCTTCAACATATTAAATGTATATCATGCTTGATACTTGAGATATTTAAAAATAGCCCCTTTGTCAATTTGAATTTTACTTTCTGGAATCAGTGAATTGTTTTTAGATATTTTCTCTTCTGAAGTCATTCGATTTTCAGGGCTCAGTATAAAGCAAATTTCTGATATTTTTATTCTCCTTGAAGACAGGACAAGTTATAATGGCTATGGGGAAAATGAATGCTTTTTTCTTTTTGAGGGAGGTATATGTTTTATACATTTCTGTAACCAAAGTTTATTGAAATGGAAACAAGCTTAATGAATAAGTAAAACATAATGTAAAATTTAGACCATAGATATCAAAATGAAAGGTAAGTTCCACAGCTACAGAGCTTGCAGTTATTTGGTTGAATTCTGAAATCAAATTATTTATTCAACTAAGACCAAGTCCTGCTAGGGGATGTCTAGTCTTAAGTTGCTGACTAGAATCACAATTAGAATAATATTTGCACTCACAGCATTTAAGAAACTGCTTATTTATTCTCTGTCCTTCTTACTTCTCCCCACTCCCCTCTTCTGGGCATGCTTTCACCAGCATGCTTGAAAGCTTACTTTCTACTGATAATAGATGGGCATCTACTCCTGGGAATCTTCCCAGCACTGGAACCTTGACTTAAACCTAAGCCCACAAAATGAGTTTAAAAATGTAAAGGAGGCACAATTCTTTGACTTATTTTGCATGGTAATTTTATTTTTTCTGCGTGGACCAAGATTTACCTTACCTCCCAAGTCCACATGTTTGCTCATCAATATATAACCCATAAAACAATGTCTTGGTTTAAATTTAAATTACTCAGCTTATGTCCTGATCACATTAGTTTTGTGGATTAGAGTTGGGAAGATTGAGATGGTCTGATTCTGACACAATGTGAGTCTGGACAAGTTGTTTAGTCTTTAAATTCCTGTTTGTCTCGTTTGTGTTAACTAGACAATTAAGGCATCCTTCATTTGCTTCATAAAGGGAAAATGATGAGCATTAATAAGATTAAATACTTGGGTACAAGTTAAGGACCTGAGATAAAACTCCAAATCTGAGAATGCCGATACATTCCAGAGTCCCTCTCTGGGACAAGCAGTGCCTCTGCCAATTGTCCAGCTCCTGGGGCCATGCCTAGAAGCACGCCCCAAGATGTGTGAAGCTGAGACTCTCTCTTTGTCCTATCAACCCCCACTCTCTCCCCCAACTTACTGCTTTTTTTTTTTTTTTTTTTTAAGATCAGTCTTCTGGACATGGGGATGGGGGTTGGAGGGTGGAGGGGAGCGGGAGGAAAGGAGAAGGTGGGACCAAATGAGACAGTAGCATTGATTTATATACAGGACCATGTGTAAAATAGATAGCTAGTGGGAAGCTGCTTATAGCACAAAGAGCTCAGCTCAGGGCTCTGTGATGACATAGAGGGAGGTGGGAGGGAGGCTTAAGAGGGAGGGGAAAAATGCACACATGTAGTTGACTCAGGCTGATGTATAGCAGAAACATTAGCGAAGCAATTATACTCCAATTAAAACAAAGTAAGAATTAGTACTTTTGTGCTATTTACCCTTTGGTCCTTTTCTGTTAAATAAAGACTTAAAAAACAAACAAAATCCATCCCATTGCTTTAAAAGTTGCATTAGTCTCTAACAAAGATATTCCCATGTATGACCTCCTCTGTAGAGCTTGCTTACTCTCTTCAGGAGACCTTGTTCCTCTCTGTCTTCCATCACTCACAGTTTAGTGTACTTCATCTTAAATATTTCTCATGAAAACTTATGTATGCATTTATCTTTCCACAAATCCTTTTGTTTTCGCCCTTTATTACCTAAGCAAAATCTCAGAGCACTTTTCTATTTCACTTATGAAACAAAGTTCCAGTCTTAACTAAGAAGTACAAGTACAAATAATGATGTCCCTCACTAAGCAAAAGAAAAGCCAGAACCTCTACTGTTAAATTCAGCTTACTAAGAAACAGTGACTTCAGTCTCTAAAGTTCTCTAGACTGTTGATGCTCTTCAGAATTCCTGCAGTTTCATGGTTTTTAGAAATGTAAACTTATTTATCTGTTATCACACACAGTTGAAACACAGATAGAATGTTATAGTATTTAATTTTCCTGTTTTTTTGTTACTAGCATGGCCAATGTTGTGTACTAGAAATGCAATATGTGAAGTTCTTACAGGTAAAGAGAGTGAAAGAGAGGGAATAGATGCCTGTGGGGGAAGATTTAGGGGTGGGGGGTGGAGAGCAGAGAAGCCATCACAAAGAAAGGGATGTGTGAGCTAGATTTTGTAGGTTTAATGAAAATTTTCAGTTGCCTATGTCAAAAAGACATTCCGAGCATAAGGTAATTCTCAGGTTCTGTGGAGGAACAGAGATAGTTCCATTTGTCAAAGTATATCTAAATTGTCTGAGGATTCTGAGGCTAGGGTCAGATCTGAGAGAGACAGAGGGACAGCACGAGGTGTCTTGGTGTTTTTTGAAGAACCTTCTACTTAAACCCCATACACAACTTAAGCCCTTCTAAAAATAGAAAGATGCCAGGCTTTTGGAAATAATCTGCACGTGCTCCTGACTCCCTCACCATCATGCTGGTGGGGTGAGACTGGCACAGAGCACTTGATGAGAGGAGGAACCACGGCCTCAGCAACAAGATGACAGAACGAGCAAGACAATTTGGAAAGTGAAGCAACTCGCCTTTGGGGCTTCATCATATGGACTCATGCTGCGTATATGGATGAAAAATGGCTTTCTGTCCATGTCAGAAACTGTGAGCCCCTCATCTCCTTGAGGCTGGGGAGGCAGGGAAGGAAGAGAAGGCAAACAGGCAGCTTTTGGGGAGGTGCTGAAATAGATCTTGCTTCCTGGCAGGCAGGATGAGAGTACCAGGAGAGGAGGGAGCAGCCTCCCTGGGAACCAGCTCGGCCACTGATCTATATTCCACTGAGGGAGAGGTTAGGGGCCAGCGGGCACACTCAGACTCATTTAGCTCAACTTCACGACATTCAGGAAAAAAATGTAACTTTAAGTGATAAAAAGTTGTAGGGCTTTTGTTTTTTCTCTATAGTATTGCTTTTTTAGGAATTAGATGCCCACTAGCATAATATAAATAATAATATACACATATCTCTACAGACAAAATAACATCTGTTAGATTAAGTAGCTTTACCAAAGTTGTAATTTGAAATATGCATTTTAATCATTCACTAGACTGAAACAAACCAAGAGTGGTTAAAGTTGAAGTGTCATAGTTAAGTTTTCTGCCCAGGTGGGTTTTTCCATTTTTCTTGAACTCACATGAAATATGGGATGGCTTTAGCATTACCTCATTTTTTCTGACCAAGACCCATTTCCTTGGGCATCCATCTCCCAAATGCCACATAAACTTCAGTCTCATGGGTTTCCTTCTCTTTCCTAAGTATTCATTGTTTACTAGAGACCAACACTTTTTGTTTTTTAATTCCTTTCAAATCTGTTTTCCTCTTGCCCAGAGCATTATTTTTTAATAATGTTCTCTTTAGATTATTAGGCAACTTAAAAAAGTTTCTGCATAAATGATTAAAAAAAAATTAGCTGAGTTTTGATTTCCTAGTCTCTTTCCATGAGAAGAGGAGGTAATTTTTGGTATAGCTTTTCCATCTAGTTCCCCATCTCTCACCACCAATGGCATGTCAGGATTCCACGCATTGGGCTAGCCAAGACTTCAAATGCATAAACACATGCTCACATTCGTTCTAAAGTGAACCACCACTTTCCAAATAGCTACCAACATATTCCCTAAGGAAAAGCACACCCTGCATTTTTAGTTGACGGTGTTATCAGAGTCCCTTGGGATCCTCCAAAGGGATCCTAGATGTGTTTGTGGTGTGGTCCCCACTGTTAAAAATATAGCAAAGTTCTTCTCAACTGTCCCAAACACAGCACATTCTTATAACGTGACAAAGCTCCTATGAATCATCATTTCCACATTTGTGAGTTGATTTTTCCTAATATCAATGGGGAAATTTGTATTATTGTCATTTGTCAAAAGGGGAAATTGAGGCAAGGCAGTTTATCAAGTTTCTCACGACATAAAAAATTTTCAGTTCAAACTCATTCCTGGGAACTGGAATACATGCTGTAAACCCATAGTTTAAAATGAGAAAATATAGTTTACTTTGCAAAAAGCATTACAAAAAAGCAACCTAAGAAGAATATTCTCTCAGAGACAACTGGCTTATCAACAAGAGATTGCAGAGACAGGACAGACATTAAAAAGTGCCCAATTTCTTCCCTTCCTTATCAGGACTGAAGCTTAGGAAATTTCACTTAAGCCACGGGACAATCAAATGACAGCTTAAGCCCAGATCCCAGATTTCTTGATTTTCCACTATTCAGGCTCCTCCTGCCACATCACTCTTAATTTTAAGATGCATTTCAATAAAAGAGCAAACGTTCATTAATCACAACCCTCGGGCCCTATGCGGTACAGTTTGCCTTCCTTCCTTTTCCCATTTTTATATCTTGGGCTCTCCAAGGAAGGGACTTGAAAGTCCTCAGACTTGGCCCTGCTACCTCTCACACCTCCCAGTCCGTTTACCTGGAATGCTGTGGAGAGCATCTTCATTCTCCAGAATGCCTCTCTGTTTGGTCGCCTGCAGCTCACTTTTGGATTTCCAGACCAGCTTTACCATCCTGATCATCTCTGGCAAGTCCCAGGGCAGCGGCCCCTGCTGGCACCCCGGCCGGCTGCCCAGGGGGGCGGGCAGCTCACCTTCTGGGGCCGTCCACCTTCTGCCCAGCTCTGCCGAGTGGAAATAGCGCTCGAGCACAGGCATTCTGCCCTGGTCCCCAGAAGAGGAGGTCGGGCTGCTGCTGTTGCTGCTGCTGCCGCCGCCGCGGCGGCCGCTGCTACCAGAGGGGAAATTCTTCCCAGGCAGGGGAAGGCGAAGCCCCGGAAAATCCTCTCCAGCTTCGGAAAGGCAAGCCTCCTCCAGCCTGGCACAGCCCCCCTGTCCCTCCAGTCCCGCCACAACACTGACGATGAGGGCGACTCACTTCCCAAGGTTTCTCACTGGTGAGAACGGTTCCTGTCCTCCTTCCTTAGAGAGAGAAAGCATTTCCCCCCCCTTCTCTCTCAGGCACTGACTTCGCAGCACTTAATTAATCCCAGGCTACAGCTGGAACGACAGCAGAGGGGGGGGGAAAAAAGCCATTGAGGTTTTAGCCTTTGCTTTTTATCTTCTTCCGATTTATTTGTTCTCAGTTCTGTTTTGGTGCTTGTCAAAGTTTGTCAAGTGGCTTGTTTAGCCCTTGAGGACTTCACGCCAAGAAGTGGGGGGCTCCTCTTTGCCAGCCTCTCAGAGGGGGTACTCCAGAGGCCAGTTACCTGAAGGGGTCAGGTAAGGAGTCACCCTCCTGGTGCAGGAAACCTAGAAGTTTCCCCAGCTCCAGCCCTCGAGGAGAAAACAGGGGAGGCTGAGCACTGGCAGGACCGATTCGCAGCTGCTCCTTTCTGGAAGGTCTGGCCGGGGGCCACCTTGCCGGTCCACCACAGTCTGCGCTGAGCTGGGGTTATTCGAAAGGCTCTTGGGTTGCTCCCCAGGACCACAGTCCACACACTCCCCTCCTCCATAACTCTCCCTCCCCATTGTCACTTGGTTCTCAGCAAACTTCACCAAAGTTTGGACTATTAGTCCAATCCCTTTGTAACCTCAGCTGCCCTTCGTCTGGAAGGGAAATAACAGTGAATCACATTCCAGAGCTAACTTTGAAAGAAGTGACTTGGGGAAGCATCCAGATCCTCATGCAAACGTGCAGTGAGGTTGCAAAGTCTGGACACATGGCTTGGGATGGAATAATAATTTTAAAGCACATCCATTGGGGACATAAATGACAGCAAAAAGCAAGTGTCGAAGAATCGCTTTCCAGAGGTAGAGCGCTGGGGACATGACATTTGGGCCACAAATGGCACCCCCCACCTAACAGTGGTTGAATTGAGGATAATCAGGGGCCACCTGTCTTGGATCCCGAGGTTCAGAGATAGAGGCGCTCAGCCTAGAAGTGAGAATTCGCACAGCAGAGGGGTTGTCCCCTGGAGCTAGTGTGAAAAGCCCTGACACAAATCAAAGTGAGGTGGTATTTTGCCAGCAAATTGGGTTGGTAGGAGCAATTTGAACTTGGACATTCACGTGGCTAACTCCTATTTTCTTGGGGAGGCCATTGCAACAATCCCATCTTTCCTTTTCATGTCTCAGCATTGCAAAGGGCTTTATTTTGCTTGGCATTTTATTTTGTTGATGTACAATCTGTTGCTCCTGCTCTGCTTTCCTTTCGGGGCTGTTTGATCACACAATCATTTGCTGTTTCTTTAGGAGAGAGGATAAAGACCAATGTAGGGTCTGTATTATTTTCATCTCCCTCACCTCGTGTTTTAAAAGTTGAAACTAGCAAAAGCTACCGTCACGTTGTTATTGTTATTATGATTATTCCTCTAAACCCATGGGTGAGAAGTTTAGCTTTCTACATTGAATTAAGTGGCTTTTCTTTTTTCTGGATGGAAAAGTACGCTGGCAAACCTTTCGTAATGGGTGAAGAAGGGTCAACATCTTTAAGGACAAGAAACAACAATAAAACACATTTAGGACACTGCTGCTTGTGAGTTTCATGATTAAAATATTGACCAAGCAGCTATTCCTACAACAACCAGATATTCATACAACCCAATTAGGAAATAATCAATGACCCACTTATGAGAAAGATGGGCCTTTTTAAACTTCCCTGTTTGTTAAGAGATGAAGGGATTAAAGCCTCAGTCTGACAGTTCTACCACTTTTGACAGCCCTCCCAGTTCTTATCTTACCCTTCCATCAGGTTGGGGGCATATGAGCTCTCTAGAATTGAGACGATTTTATTTAATAAGCACATGTAGGCTGCTGTCCTCTATTAGCATATTTCCTGAATAGTGTCTTATACTCACTCCTCAGTTACAAACTTCCTTGACATAACAACCGAAGAGTTTCCTAAGTGTTTGACTATTTTTATTTTTGTTCAGTTATTTTGTAATAGTACTTAGCATCAGGATATCCTGACCCTTGGAACAAAGGGGTTAAGAACAAAGAAAACAAATATATGATATAATATGTTACATACACTAATGTATTAAGAATATAACTCTTCATTGCACATTCCTTTAAGAAGGACTTTTTAAAAAAATCCTAGGATATAAGTTTCCACTGTATTCTCGATATAATTTTACATATTTCCATGTAAAAATACCTTAGAGAAGTTACAAAATGTTGAATCATTGACCATGAATACTTCATAGTCGAAATAAAGGCCAGGAAAATGCCATCTCAAGTTTTCATCCTCAAAGAGGAATCTTCTTCATTAGAACATTTGGAAAATTAAAAATACTGTACAATTAAAAACAAAAATTCTCCCCAATATGGGATTATCTTCATTCCACGGTAGAAGTGCAGAAATACCACAGGGAAGGTCATTCTCATGGTATTTCTGGCTCACATAGAAACAGGAAGTACAGGAAATCTTGCGAGAAAGCTTGGCTCAGGAGAGTTTTGGCTCAACTACAGGCTCAAGAGATTGGGACAAACTGATGAGATGTTAGCACTTCGACTAAAACTACTATCCCTCGAAAATCTTCTAAAAGGTGGCTATGTTCCATTTTGTAGGCTAGCATCTCTTTTATCTTTCAGATAGTTACTTTAGAAGAGCATACCTGTAAACCTATGATTTTTCTCTTACATCATTCACCGATTACTATACCAGGGAAGAGGAGAAGGGGCTAATGGGGAGGGTCTGTGCCCAGAGGACTCATAGAGCAAAGAGGTCTCATCTGTGTGACTTGTAAGGATTCTTCCAAGTCTTAATATCAGTACTTAATATGCTCCAAACAGGAAATTATAAGATAGACTTTCAAAATAAGTTCTTTTTTTTTCAAGCATGTGAGTCAACCTAACTTCCCATGAAGAGGAAAGTAGCATAGTTCTCTTCTTGTATGAAAGAAATGTCATGAGAATTAACAAAATCAAAACAGCTTGTTCCAATGGATTCCTAAAATATCAAACTTTGTTGTGTGTCTGCAGCTATAAAGAAAAGAACTGATAACCACAATGGTAAAGTATACTACCAAGAAAAAAGATTTGTAAACATAATGTTTTAGAACCTGGATCATCTTGAAGAATTTCTAGTGTTCTGGGGGCTCTGTAAAAATATTGTGGATTTATGGCTGTTCTAGTTGATAGGCTGCTAAGCCCTTATTATACATGACTTTAAAGAAAATATTAACAATATTAAATATTTCTAATCATTCTAGAGAATGTACATTAAAAAATAGAAACAGAAATACACATGCATTTCAATTTTAGATTAAATTCTCACAAAACTTCATTTTAATTAATCAACGTCTTCTCACTAAGGTATTTTGCAAGTACTTTAAATACTTATTAACTCCCACCTGTTTCTATATTTGAAGAAAAATTTGAGACTGTTGAGGGAATTTATTCATTTTGTCCTGGGCTTTTCTCTCCATCAGTTCAAATACGGATATAGGATGTATAAATACACACACATGACCACCCAGGGTTTCACAGATGCATTTCAAATGCAATTCACAATGAGCAAAGGAGGAAAAACAGGTCTTTCAACTTTGTTTAAGGTAGTCTAAGTAGAAGAAGCTCAAACAATTTACAGTGTCCTTTAGGAGACATAGAAATGTAATAACTTTTGCCTTAACTAATCTTGAGGAATCATGCCAGCAAGTAGGGAAAAGGACTTGGTCTACAGACCGACCATAGAAGGCAGCACATATTTCCACCATCACATGGGAAGGGAAGAGAGGGGCGGGGCAAGATGAGGAGAGGCGAGGTGGGGGGAGGTAGAAGGAGGCTGAGCTGACAGATTCATAGTGTGATTTCACAACAGGTTTCTAAACTACAACCAATCATTCCCTTATTCACTCTGCAAATATGTATTAGCAGCTAGAGCAACAGCAGAGGAGAGAATCTCTTTACCAGCCCCTGGGTCCTTTCTCAGGCAATGGAACCTGTCTGGCCTTTCCCACCTTGTTTTGAGTTTTCACTGTGCTTTACGATGTCTTCTATTTTCTTTGGACATTTAAAGAGAAACCAGGGTTTTAGCTGGCATCAGACCTCTATCCTGGTTCTCAGATATCTAGCTAATGCTAAGTTTCCTGTCACTGAGAGTTAACCTGCAAAAAAAAAAAAAAAAAAAGCCCAATAATGCAGGGGTTGAGGACAAAATGACTGGAAGACTTGATTTTCTCCACCTGGCTCCCCCTCCCTGCTCTCTCCATCACCTGATACTTTGCTGTGTGACCATAGCATCCTCTGGCTGAAACCTTTCTGGGATTTCAGAACTTCTTTCTTTTTTTTTTTTGGTCATGCTATGCCACATGCAGGATGTTAGCTCCTCAACCAGGGCTCAAATCCACACCTCCTGCATTTGGAGAGCAGAGTCTTAACCACTGGACTACCAGGGACACTTATTTCTGATTGGCAAAGATTGTAAGTGGTGGTACACTTTTCATAATTCCATGTTCGCGGGTGTGTCACCTTCTTCAAAAATAACTATAATGATGAAATGGCCAAGAAGTCCTTCAAGACTACTATTAATGCCTTAGGGTTACAAAAACTGTATTTCAGTCTCATTACTGAGCTTTGCCTCAAACTTAGAGATTTATCTACGAATAGTGTGTGCTTAGTCACTCAGTCATGTCCAACTCTTTGTGACCCTAAGGACCGTAGCTTGCTAGGCTCCTCTGTCCATGTGGATTCTCCAGGCAAGAATACTGGAGTGG